CCTTTGTTTTCTGGATCAGTATTTTTATCTAGTCCAGAAGGAGGCCATGTTTTAATCATGTATTATTATGTAATGACTTTTCATGAGATAAATAACATAAGTATTTTCCAGAGCTGTTATCATGAATTAAAAAATTCAAAATTCAAAGTGAATTTCAAAATAGTACAAGGAAGAAAAATATCTACTTAAGAGTAAAAAAAAATTATATTAATTACTGTGTAATTAAAAAATATCCTTGTCAAATTAGTGCAAAATCATTCATTTTTAATAATTTTTTATTACACTGATTTTATGTATTTGCATATTGTTGAAATTTGTGATAAATAGCATAGATGCTAAAGTTTTGTTTTGATTGCTGTTAGAGATAACTTGGTGACAAGAGGGAGATTTTTATAGAGAAAGGACAAGGTCCCATGGAGGAATTGGTTTTTAAAACTTCTTTCTGAAGGTTAAATATGATCTGGTTGGATAACGACCTGTTATGTGGTTTCTGAGAAATTTCATATTACTGGCAGAACTCTTATGAATTTTTTCCATGTAGGAAACATTATAGCCCAACATTTTATAAAGTCAAATGTCGGGCATAGCTTATGTCATTTGTCATGCAAAGCTATTTCATATATGGCACTAGTTATTCTGAAGGAATTTTTGTGTATTGCCAGTGGCTATCCATATAGTGTGAAAGTTGGAATTTCCAACATGTATTCTGTTATTGATATTTTGTGGTGATGTGATTACTACAAAACAGTGAGTAGAAAAATAAAGTTTCATAGTTCAAATTTATTTATACTGTGTTTTTACATTGTTCTTTATCATAAAAACTGCATTATTGAAATAAGAAAACAAAGCAAAAATATTATTTTCAACTGCATTTCGGCTTCTGTAGTTCATCATCAGGATAAATGTGCAACATAATTTCACAGGGTTTGAAAACATTCAAAATAAATATAATAGAATTTTTTTAAATTCTAAAGCAGAGAAAATGTTTATCTCCAGCGAACTCATAATAAGTAATAAATATTGTAAGTATCAAAAATTAAATTAGAATACACATTAAGTTGCAACCTTTGTTTAATAGCCATTGTCAGGGCCATTATTTGACAGTGGCATGACAGTGATTTGACATCTGTTGAGAGAATTATGCACTTTTGACTTGAATAAGTTTTCAGAATTACATTGACATCAATTTTTTTTATATTTATCATTTATATTTGTTTTTTTTTTATCAATTTTTCACAAATTTTCATAAATTGGGACTGCTTATATATATTTCAAAATATTTTCAAATTTTATATGTTCTGTTTATATATTGAAAGTTATGTTTTCAATTAAATATTACATTAAAAGAATTATACACTTGTAATCCAAGTTTCTTGTATCCAAGTAGGGAAACAGATAACTAGATAGTGTATTTCCCGAAACTGTATGCAGATAAATGAATGTCAAAAAGAGAAAATTTTAACTGATTAACTTATCTCTACTTTCTTTATAGGAAAGTAGTGTTTGTTTATAGTATTGAGAAAATTGCCACAATAAATATTTAAAGATTAATCAGAATTAGAAAATATCTGATAGGTATATAACATCAAAAGTAGTGGGGAGTTGGGTCAGATTTAATCATTTTATTTGTTATTAGCATTTACAATTTTTTTAAAAATGTTTACTTTGAAAAAGTTTTTTATAAAATATTACAACAGATGGCGCTACATGCAATTTTGAATGTTTCCGGGAAAGTTACGCGACTCATTGCTGGATATAGTGCAGTACTGTATAAAAATACTGCACTATAAAGTTTAAAAAAGTTTAAAGTTTATTAGCAGAAACGAAATTATACTGCATTTCTCCAAATGTAACACAGCAATGCAAGTTTATTGAGCAATGAAGCCCATACAAATAATCTATTAAGGACTGAATATTTGAAAAATAGCACGTGATGTGTTCTTATTAGAAATGGTCTTGAAGTGTACCGTGTCATATAGAAAATTTTTAATTTAACTTATTGATATGAAGTTTAAAAGAGAGTTTAATGTCAAATAATAAAGGTATCAAGATGGAAGTGACGATTTCTAAGGGTTAATTGTGGATATATAAGTTGTATAACTGTGGGTGGTCTAACAAGACTAAATCATTATTTTGGTTTATCGGGTATTAATTGATAGATTTAAAGATTTGAACGATTTACTAAGTTTAAGAATATCGGTTTGTACTGTTATCTGGCAATGATTGGCAGTTTAATGTCATCTGCTTAAGCGTTAATGAAGAATGGGGATGTGAGTATGAGATTTTAGACCTATGTAAGCAATAAAGAACAAATTACAATGAATCGAGCATTGAGGGATATCTATTGCAGGTGAAAACTGTTGGGAGAAAGTCTGAGATTTTTATTTTATATGTACAGTACGCTATATGAAGTAATTTTTTAAAAACTTTCTGGCCTGTAGGCACTAAGAGGGCCTCTTTTAGCAAGCCCATTATGGGTTCGGCCATGCCCACAATGGGGCGGACAGATTGTAAGGAACGGGGCCCGACATGTCCGGTCGGTCCACCACCCGAAAAATTCCTGGTGACTTATCGACCCGTCCGGTTCGAACCCAAGTCCCCAGAGCGGTAGGCTGCCAACTGCTCGGCCGTAATATGAAGTAATTATTGAACCCCTAGGATGATGATATATGAAACTCAATAGCTAATTTTTCAAGAGTATATTCGGTATTACAGAATCGAAGGCTTTGGAAATATCTATGTGTATAAACGACGACCGAAGGAAGTTTTCATTCAAATTTGGATATTACTTGTATTCTAGAAGGTTACTTGTGGTTGAACGGTGATTGATGCCAGATTGCTAAACTGTACTAATACGGGAAATAACTGCACAATAAATTGAATGATATAAATAGGTTTCGAAAATTTTAAGCATCGCAGATGCGGGAGAGGTAGGAAGAAGAGTCGAGTCGGGATCTTTTTTAAGTAAAATAAACATCGCAGACATAGATCACTGGCTGACCCAGTTTCGGACCAGCCAGGGTTTCGGCTTGCCCGATGGCAAGTGGGCCTGTATAAACGTTAGAAAATGTGTTTAAAATGTTAACGACTTTTAGTAGCTTGAAAATATAAGTTCGAATGTTATTACTAGATGCAACTAACATTTCCGTTGTATTACAAGTTTAATAAAATTATTTTTCGAGGATACTTCATATTTAAGAATATAATAAATAACTGAAAATTTAATTCTCATTCAGGTGATGTTAGACCGATATAGGCTCAGATCTTTAATATTCCGAGTGCGCAGTGCCGGCCCGAGGCAAGTTTTAGGATGGAGCGAGATCCTATTATGGCGCCCTCTTTGTCAGTAGCGTAGCGAACATAACTGGCGCTCGGGGCACGACACTTTATTGGCGCCCCTCTCCAGAAACCCATATAGTTAGTCTTGGAGACCATTTCGGCGCCCCTCTGCGAGTGGCGCATGGTGCTTGATACACCCCCTCGCTACGCCACTGCCCTTGGTTGCCCCAAATTTATACCCTTTAATTTTCTTTACCACTGAGGCGCCCCTAGGACTTAGCGCCTGGAGCGGCTGCTCCTTTCGCCCTATGGTAGGGCCGGCTTTGCGAGTGCGCAATGAAGCTTAGTGGGAATCCCAGCCTGGAATCGTGACGTGCACCCGTTGCCAACTTTGTATCGATCGAGCTGTTGCATACATTGCAGACAGTAAATAGCTTATTATGAATCACGTCGGACAATTTGAATGTGCTTCGTCAGTTCTTCACCTCGTGCTGGTTGTATTTTATGAGCTTGTTTAATTAATACTTTTTAATATACTGTGGCCTTACGCCCTTTAAAGGAGTAAATGCAGAAAGTAAATGTCATTGTTAATTAATCTAACGTTCTGAAGAAATAAACGTAATATAACAAAGTAAAAAAGGGGCAATCAGCAAAGTAAAAAAGGGACAACAGAGACTTTAAATTTAAAAATTGAATACAGGAATTTCAGAAATAACTCCAATTACGCTTTTCAGAGACAGTGCCCGATAAATAAAAAATATAGGCCTACAAAAAATGTGACTAACCTGTAATAATATTATAAGTAAGCTGAAAGAAAGAGAACAGAATAATATCGGGCTGTCTCATACAAACATGTTTGAGAAAGGGATGTTTGAGAATTTAATAAAAGACGAAATCGACTATTTGCTCTGTTTTCAAGAACTGTTTTTTAAAGAACACATTAACTATTTTTCTCGTTATTGATCATTTGAACGCGGCCGAATAGATAAAACCCGGTCCACTCATAGTGTGGTTGTGGATTTCGGCCTCAGCAACGGGCTGAGACTCAAATCTACAACCACACTGAGTGGAGTTTTCTGCGTTTTCTTAACGTCTTTAAACACCGAAATAGCAGCCAGTTTTCCATAGAAGGCATCCACCCTGGCACGTTGTCAATGTGTTGCGTTGCCTTATCCCATCAATCCAATCCATCATTTTGACAAACACGAAAATATAATTAATGCATTCAATAGTTCAATACCAAACAGGTAAGAGTGGAATGAATCGTGTGATATAAAATTTTCGATGTTGAAAAGATGCATACGGTTTATCAGGTAATATGCCATAAAATATAACTCCAAAAAAGTTTCTAAAGACGAACGAACCGCTACACCTTTAATGACATTTCTTCTATCCTATCACATTCCTACATAATCTACGAATTTGTACAAAGCTAAGGAATGATTTTGAATTAACTCTTTGGTGATTCGTTCTTTTTATTCCTAACAAGAGACGGGAATTTTATTATAAAAATAACTCAGATTGCAACAAGAAATTTGTCATATGTTTAAATTAATTTAATAAAAAAATTAAAGATTAACTTATTTAAAACCATACGAAACATATTAATTTTATTAAACTTTTATAATAAATTTCTGCTTCAAATTAATAATTTAATCCATACTATACAATCCCTCTATTGTGTATTTAACGAACTTCGACAGGTGTGCGGATGGCGTCATTCGTCATGTGATTTCCCGCAATATTGCGGACGTCGGTTTACATTACTTCGGAGACACGTTAATGTATTAGGTGACAAGCTGGTGTTAACGTTTCCACCAAATAATTCTTATACATAAACGAAAAAAAGAATAGGAAAACAATATGAAAAATCAAGCCTGTTAGAAGAGAATATGAATTTTTTTAAGTGTAACTTAGAAGAATTATTTAATTAATTGTAAATAAGAAAACAACGATTGATGTGAATACATCCTGTGGATAAGCGCATAATGCCTCTATTTGGTAAAAAGAAGAGAGATGCAGCAGGTGAACACACGAATGGTGATTCCGAAGGATACACCTCCAGTAACGCGGGATCTAATGGAAGCGGTGGACAACACGAAATTCAAAAACCTCGTTTGGTCTTCCATTGCCAACAGGCACAAGGTAGCCCGACGGGCATTATTTCTGGCTTCACTAATATCAAGGAGTTATATCAAAAGATATGTGAATGCTACGATTTCCCTGTTACGGATGTAAGTATTATTTAACTTAATAACTATTGATAATAAAGTTTAAAAGTAATAAGTTAATCGAATCTCCGAAAAGTGATTTGAAAAGCTCCGTTTATTCGAAGTAATAATTGTCATAGAATATTTGTGATAGATGTGTTTACTTTTTTTCATAATACAGATATGATAATACAGGACTTTGTAGATGTAATAATGGATTCTTTGAAATTTCCTTTTCAGGAAAAAGGAAAATTTACTTGTATTATTTTCAATAGAATTGTTTTCAATTATAAATTTACAAAAATGTGATTTTTTTTAAGTTTTAGGAAAGTTTTTTTCAAATTTTAATTATTAAAAACAAATTTTAATCCTTTATTAAATGAGTGTTGTGCAATATACAATGTTTAATTAAACTGAGCTATCGTGATTAGCTAATACAAACTGGAACACTAAATTGTGTTGTAATTTGCCTTGAAATATATAGGCCTGTACAGTATACTGATAAACAAACCTATTTTATTTTACTTGAGAATTTCAAAATAATAATGCATTAATATTATCCAGATAGAACTAATATAAATACATTATTTTTTTTTTATTTAAACAACAAAAACATTGCAAAATAATATAAGTTTGTGAGTTGATATAAAATCAAATGAACAAAGTTTCAATATTAAAAATGTAATACTGTATTTATATTCAATTGATATGATGATTAATTTTCTCTGCATATAGCATGATAAAGTTAAATTTTTCAAAAACTATCAAAAACATATTGTTTTCTTAATATTGGTAAAATACTGGTATTAAGTATATTTTAGCTTTAGAAAATTGTCTCAAAGTATCAATTTAATATCTTATAATGAATGATCATTAAATATATAGGTATATAATGTGATGAACGATAAAATTGAATGTAAAATTTTTAGTCAATGAAAATTATTTATATTTTAATCTGAAAGATTATGTCAAGACAACAGATAAAGATTTTTCTCAAGAACACTTCATCAATATAATTGGTGTAGGTACTAAATATATTTTCTCAAAAAGAGAAAGTCTGTTTTGAATCAGATTTATTTTGATCACTTTACAGCAACAAGAATGTTGAAATCGTTTACAGAATATAGAAGACTTATGTGTATAAATATCAGAGATGGATGTCCCTTTATCTATTTCATACAAAACTTATATTAACAATATTTATGACAGAATTCTCTATTTGAATCCAGATTTGATTCTATGATATAATTGGAAGGAATAATGGAGATATAAAGTTCTCATAATTATAATTATAAAATATGTAGTGATTACCTGATTAGAATGCATGTTCAAAATTTTAAATCATTCCTATCCAGCTACACTCTTATGTATATTTTATTTTTATTTTTTATGCATTTTATTGTGTTTTATTTCTCATATATCCTTTGTTTCTTATATTTTGTTTTATTTTAGTTTGTAATTCTTATTATGATCTTGTTCTGTATTTGAGTTAATTCAAGTTTTTTTCTATTTTTAATTCAAATTCCATATATCGTATTCCATTTTACATTATATTCTATTCTCTTTTTGTGTATCCTGAAGATGACTGATTAGACACTCAGAAATGTTCAGTTAATAAATAATTTTGCTGGTAAAAGTTTAAGTGGTCTTATTATTAAATAATTAGTCTTTAAATCTGTGCAAATTTTTGTTTATATATGCACTTTCAGAATGTATAACTCAAATATCACTGTAATAGTAAATAAGTTGTTTACAACTGCAAACATTTAAACATATTTATATTTAAACATCAAGTCTTATCTCAAGGCACAACCCCAAATAAGTAACAGATTGAAAACATTTCAATTTTAAATTTATTAGTGTAATCATAAATTATCATTGGAATTATTTCAATGAAATATTTCAAAGTAAGATTTGAACTACAGGTAACCCCCCGTATAACATGAAAGTTACGTTCCAAAAAATTGCCGTGTTATGCGAATTTGTGTTATACAAAACAAAGAACTAGTGCGAAAAGGGGGTTCCAAAAATTAAAAAACATGCTGTTAAATCCTTATTATTCATTTTTTTCATAGGTAAAATACTTATTTATCATTTAAGTAAATATTTTACCAGAGGATTATTCATCCTATATGATGATCTCAGCATGAGCATCATCAACTGGTAACAGTTTTTGGGTGCGTTTGTTAATAGCAGTCACTCTGCAACAGGAGTGCACTGCTGTTTGTAGGCATTTAGGAATGACGATGAAAGAAAGAAGGTGCGCCCGCACCATCAATAGTATCATGATGGAGGAATCTATAATTCTAAAATGAGTTTTTAGAGGCAAAAGAAGGGTCCCAATTGTAAAATTTAACCATTCAATAGATTATTTGTTGAAAGAGCATTCAAAGTAGCCATGAAAATAATTAGAATGCTTGTGCGGAGTTATGCGGAGGTATAAAAGAAACCCTTTTTTATAAAAGACACCCTTTATTACATTTCATGTTGTATGAGGGTATTACCCAATTCCTGAATCATGTCACAGTGAACCCATGCTATAAAGGCACTGTGTTATACGGGGATGTTCCCAATTCTTGAACTGTGTTAGAGTGAATCCATGCTATAGAAGTGCCATGTTATATGGGGTTACCTGTATTGGTTTTCCTTCATTTACTAAAATATCCCATACAATCTGTTTGCTATTTGAAATTCAATTAAATTGTGATTTTTACAGCTAATAAGATTTTTAATGTCATATTTGAAGCACTCCCAAATTTACAAAATTAGATTACAAAGATAAACGACTTCCAACAACTTAACACTGCGTTGAATAATAACAATCCATGAAAAACCTTTTTACGAGTGTTATGTCACTAGTAAATTCCACAAGTACTTCCGACCTCCACCGAGGTCTGCTTCAGGTGGTGACTGGCCGTGTTTCGACCCGACCGTCATAACGATGTTGCCAACGATGTAAATAAATAAATGTGCGCGTCAGGTTTCACCCCGCCGACTGACACTGTTTGAATTCCTCGAACAAATACTTCCACGCCTGTGCAAGCGTTTCCTCATCCTTGTAGTTGATGCAGTTGCCCCCCCTGGTAGCTTTATGAATCTCCCAGGCCTCCAGGTGACGGATGTGATCCGCACGGAACGCTTGTCTGATAAGTCTGGTGTTCCGGAAGTCCGCCTTATTTCAGGGTCGGTGACATAGGTGGATAAGGCGGTGGTGTGTCTTTTATGTTTGATATCAGCTTGGTGTCCACGTATTCGTTTCTGTGTTGACCGGATGGTAGAGCCAATATAAACTAAGTCCCTATTGAATCTGTCGTCCCGGATGGGAATGGAGTAAACACCAGGGCCCCAGGTGTTTACTCCATTCCCATCCGGGACGACAGATTCAATAGGGACTTAGTTTATATTGGCTCTACCATCCGGTCAACACAGAAACGAACATCTGCCTGGGAGGCCTCATAAAGCTACCAGGGGGGCAACTGCATCAACTACAAGGATGGGGAAACGCTTGCACAGGCGTGGAAGTATTTGTTCGAGGAATTCGAACAGTGTCAGTCGGAGGGGTGAAACCTGACGCGCACATTTATTTATTTACATCGTTGGCAACATCGTTATGACGGTCGGGTCGAAACACAGCCAGTCACCACCTGAAGCAGACCTCGGTGGAGGTTGGAAGTACTTGTGGAATTTACTAGTGACATAACACTCGTAAAAAGGTTTTTCGTGGATTGTTATTAGATTACAAATTTTATTTAACATAGAAGAAACTATGTATTCAGTCCTAAGGTCAGAGTTCACTTGTTAAATGACTGTGGGTGGTACTCTTTCCCACCTGACTTAGGTGGGGTGAGGTGCCTGTTTGTAGAAGAGGGTTGCCATTTTGTATTTTATTTTGACTCAGTTCTCGGTCCCCTGACTACCTACAAGTCTGGATTTTTTATGCACAAATGATTTGGGCACTTAATATTCTGTGCCAAATATCAGCTCTCAACATGTACTCCTTCATACCTCTATGCTGGTAACGTAAAATGGCAGTACTATTTTATAGACAAGATATAGTCTTGATTATTATGAAAAGAGGATTAATGTCTATAATAACTACAGTGGGTGATCGATTAACGAACAAATCGGATACCGAACACTTTTGCGAAAGATTTTTATGATCGGACAACAAACACTTCACTGAACAAACATAAAAAGAAGCGACAGAAATAGCAAATAGCAATTGATTTTCCTTTGTCTTCAGGTAACTATCAATATTTGGAGCGTGGGAGACATCAATGTCGATGCTCAATCCGATATATACTGATCAGATAGTATTCCTCAAACTTTGAAATACTCCCTTGTAATTTCAGCCTTATATTTTTCTGACAAACAATTCTTTTATAGTATTTGCAAGACTGTTGGGCGGGCACTCATTAAGTTTTGCATTGGTTTTTATTTTCAAAAGGTGAGAGTATAATCGCAAAGATGGGCGGATGTCTGATGTTGCTGGGCTGTATGGCTTGAACAAATCTACAGTAGACTGCAGTTCAATCTTATCTAACTTGTAAGAAAGATACAGTATTATTAAGAAAACTCAAGCAGCTAAAAGAGTAACAAATATCACATCTGAGAAATAAAGAACATTGAAGAGCTTATAATGGAACCTGAAACGGATCTGACAACAGAAGAACGCCAATAACTCTTGAATGAAGAACACCAAGAAACTCGGCGAGATATTTTTTATTATGAAAAGAGGATTAATGCCTATATCTGCTATTAATTAAAGATCTTTTGAAGAAGTGGGGGATGTCAGATATATGATCTTACAATGACATACAAATCAGGTTGAGGTTAATAGGCTTGGGAATCTCTACAATTACAATGCTATTAATTCTGAAAATGCTGAAGAAGAGAGAAAAGTAATTGACATTAGACAGATTATTTAACCCCCACAAACAAAAAAAACATGACTAATAAAAATGCAAGTCTGTATATTTATGTATTTTTATTATTACATATAAATGTAGTAAGAAAGTATATAT